AAATATTTGAATGGACATCCTGGATGCCATTCTTTCAATTTGCTTACAATACTACGTACCACTCTGAGACCAATTTTACGCCTTTTGAACTAGTATTTGGAAAGCAATGTAAACTGCCTTCTAATTTAGCGGACGAATCACCTATAGAACCAATTTATAACATGGAGGATTATTGTAAAATTTTAAAATTCAAACTCCAGACACTTCAATCAGAAGTGAGGAGTAAACTTTTGGCATCAAAACAAAAACGCTGTTTAGAATACAACGTGAACAAAACAGTTTCTAAATTTAATCCGGGAGAGCTTGTTTTGGTCAGACAGGAGACCGGAACAAAGCTAGACCCCAAATATTTTGGTCCATTTGCCGTGATAGAGGAGAAAGAGCCAAACGTAGTAATTGAAATGAACAACAAAAGCGAAATAATACATAAGGATAGAGTTAGAAAGTTTTATAGGTAATGATAGATAAAAGTAGAATAGGGTGTGTGGTGGATGTTGCCACACGGGTATGAGATATCCATAAAAACCTCATTTAGGACTAGGTGTATGATACGGGGTATCACACACAAGTATGGTTAGAAATTTTCATGATAGAATATAGGTCTACGTGGTGCTGATACGGGGTATCGCACACACGGTAGGTTGTTTAAAAAAAAAAATAGAAAAAGATAAAAATAGTTTTAAATTTTAGACTATAGCTTAAAATTTAAAAATTATAAAATAGGGCGTGTGGTGGATGCCAACCCTGCGCGAGCCCGGATATTTATCCATGAGCGATTATAAACATTGAGGATCAGCATAAATGCGATCACGCCACCCGGGCGATGAACGCATTTATGCTGATGCGACGAAAAGGGTCACGTAGGCACCACAGCCCGCGAGCTTGCGCTCGCTAAAGAATTAATGAATAAATGAGTCGAGTTTTGTAGCTGAACTGGAATGGTAGTCCCGGGCCGTTAAGACCAGAACTGAAGAAGCCATAAGCCCCCCACAAAAAGGGCAATTAATTATCATATCGTTTCACTGTAAACCTTCGACATCATTGTGTGAGATGTGATGAAAACCTTGGTTTTAAGGCCACAACTGCAGATTCCTTGCTAAAATATTAGACAACAACAACAACAACAACAACAACAACAACAACAGCGTAGGCTAGTTCATCACATTTGATAGTAGAAGTCTAAGTCACATTTGATAGTCTAAGGAAACGTTTCAGTCTAACATTAACGTAACGTAAAACTGGCTCTGAGACAACATTTAAAAAAAAAAACTTAATGTAAAATGGGAGTTACATCGGGACTGTGGTGAGGAATGGATGCGCGAACAAGGTAGAGCCAACAATCAATACGAAACTAACGATTTTGAATTGGCTCACCACTTTAGTAGCCTATTGGTCCCAAGCAAACGATTAACGTACCCTATTCTAGTTGAAATTCTATTACTACACTATGTTTGTTTTGATTCGCTATGAAAGTTTGACAGATAACATCAGGGGTGTGTGGATTCATGCAGAACATGCAGGGGTGAGTGAAATAGCTTGGGACTGCTTGGGACCGTTGTTCTGGTACTGAGTGAGCCAAAAATAATAATGATTTTCTTCGGGACCCAGTGGTCTTAGAGTTACCTCTATGGTAGAGCTCCACCGTAAGCGACAGTGCCCCAGTCCGGCAGAGATACCCCGACGGCAGGAAAATAGGAAGGTGGAAGAACACGGACAGCGCAGCCAACGACGAGAGTGCTAGATTTGGTTGTACAGGTGAGCGTCCTTCAAGAAAGCAATCAGCGCAGCCAGCGTCGAGGGGTCGTTGCCAAGTAGCTCCCTGATGTTCTCTGGGAGTCGGTGTTGTTCGCGTAGCCTCTGAAACTCTGGGCAGACACACAGCACGTGTTCCACCGAGGCAGGGATGCTGCAGATTGGACAAACCTTGTGGAAAGGTGTCCCACCAAAATTGTGGGAAATCCTCGCATGGCCGGTCCGGAGTCTTGAAATGATCCGTTGGTCCTTGTACTTGTGGCTGTCTAGCCAGGGTCGTACGGTTTCTTTGATCTTTCTCAGGAAAGTGGTCCGCGACTGAAACCAGGCTTCCATGATAATATTCGCGATCCAACGCTTGACGTCTAGGAGTGGTACGTTCTTGGTGAAGCGGGGACCAGATGGACCGGATCCCGCCAGCCTGTCCGCAGCCTCATTTCCAGGAACACCGCAGTGCCCGGGAATCCACGTAAAAACGGTTGAGGGTGGGGCATATCGTGTAATGGCTTGTATCCAGGGGTGGCTCGGGGCTACGGCTTCCAGCGCCTGGATGACGCTGTGTGAGTCCGGTAGCAAAAGGATCGGTTGATCTGCAGGAGTGATGGCTGCATCAAGAATAGCAGCGGCTTCTGCGGAAAAGACGGAACACTCCTCCGGTAGACTTTGACTTGTTGCGGAGTTTGGTCCTGCCACTCCGAGTCCCACTCCAGCCCGTGATCGCGATCCGTCCGTAAAGCGATGAACGTGCCCCGGATAGACCGACCCAAGAAGTTCTGCAACAAAACGCCTCAACGCTACAGAGTTATCTCCGGCTTGGAATCCTCTCTTAATCCGCTTATCTATTTTGATAACGTTAGATCGCCAACTTTTCTCTCCATGCCAGTGGACCCTGGCCACCGAGGAGAAGTCAAGGTTGGCTGCAGTGCGGAGGGCTCTGTTCCCCTCGTTGAGGAGAAAGACCCTATCATTCCCGGATGTCTTAGCAGCGAGGGCAGCGGCTTTCGTAGCAGTAGCTGCAGAATCCCTAAACCTAAACCTATTCTAATCCACCTGAAATAACTAACGAATGGAGGACTTTGACTACCCAGCCATGCAATAGTCTCATTCCGTGCCTTATGGCAACTTGATGAGTCTATTGCGCTCATCTTCTGGCACCACCCAGGGGAGACTTCGGAATATTATTATATGAGACAATTCAATGCAGACGTCTTTCCAAATTTAGCAGATCGACAGGTAATCGGTGAGCTAATCAACAACTCGACAACATCTCATCGTCAACGCATGCTATGAGAATTTCCAATTGCAAACAATAACGAAATGACGTCATCGAGCTATCGATCAACTACCCTGGTTACCACCTGGTACCTTATAGCACAATGCTAGGAGGCGGACCGGAAGAATCGATGAGCAACCTCCCCCCATTAGTTTCCGAGCAAATTTATCAGCAAAAACAAATTTATACCTGTAAGGGACATCCCCACGACCAGTTGGCAGGTAAAATTTTCGTCCGGGGATTTGTTTATAATCCATTTTGACATATGTCCGGAAGGATTTGAGATTTGGGCGTAATTGCATTTGTAAACAAACACGTCAATCACCGATTTCTCGCGAATAAAAGCTCAATCTCGAAAAGTAATAACACTATGAGGTAGAGGAATGATTCTTCTATCATTTGGTATAGTTTGTTTGTGAGATTGAGCTTTTATTCAAGAGAAATCAGTAATTGACGTGTTTGTTTTCAAAAGCAATTACGCCCAAATCTCAAATCACTCCGGATGTTTCGTCATCCATTAAAATACAGCAATCAAATTTCGTCAAAACTCGTTCGTAGAGTACTCGTGCTCGCTTTTTGGACTCTAAATTTTGTTTCAGGGAGTGATTCGGATGTTTACTGGCACAAAAAGACTTATATCCTACTGTTGAAAGGAAAGTTGGAATCGTATTTCTTTGACAAATCACGTATGGAGACACCTGGGTTGCTTTTCACGTACCTCAACACCTTTCTCCTCAGCTCTTTGTCCCTAGTGCCACTTTTATGATAGATGCGCTGTGCTCTATCCACACTCAGAGTATCCTTGTAACGTTGGATTACAAGACTCACCGTTGACTTTGGGAATTTTAACACTTTTGCTATTTTTGAGGCAGACCACGAAGGGTTCTCTAGATGTTTGTGCACAATTAATTTTCTTTTCTCAAGTTCCATGATCCGTAATTTCGGGATGCGTCGATTAATCGAGAAAAACTTTTCACAAATTTCTTCGTCAATGAAACATCAACAAATGCCTGTCAAACGTCTTTTGTTCCAACCACCAGGGGCGCGGTGGTTTATTAAACCATGCGTCCAGATTTACTTTGAATCGAGCTTTATTCGATTAGTATTGGTTCACAATGATTAAGAAAGGAGCCATCAAACGATCTTAACACACACGGAAAATTTTCAAATAATATTCCTAGGGACATTATTCAGGATCAAAAATTTAGATACTGATAAATCTTAACTTTTTTATTTATTTCCTGGATAAATCAAGCAATGTGGTTAACTTTTGGGGTATTAAGGGCTGTTCATAAGCTACGTAGACAGTAGGGGAACTTAGGAACTGCCCACGGTCCATACAAATTTAAAAAAATATGGACTATCGTCTATGCTGGGGGAGAGGGTAAAGAATTCCAAAAACTGTCTCCGTAGCTTATTAATATATTCCAAGCACCGGTTGGAAACTAACGATTTAAAATTGGATCACTACTTGATTAGCCTATTGGTCCCAAGCAAATCGATTAACGTACCCCATTCTAGTCAAAATTATTGTACTACACTATGTTTGTTTTGATTTGATATGAATTTTTGACAGATAAAATGAGGGGTTCGTGGATTTTCCTATGCTTCGAGGGATGCATCGATTAGCTTGGGACCGAAGAGAGTACCAGAGCTGAGCCAAAAAGTTGAGCACAATTCTTCGGAACCTTCTGGCCTTAAACTTACCTCTATGGTTGTAACGCGTTAGTTGGAACAAACGACACCTGATGCAACGGAAAGGGAGGAATTTGATAACTATCACTTAATGCACTTTTTAACACCACTTCAATGCATTTAATTAAAACTTTTTAAAACCGAAAATGAAAGCAAAAACGACGCAGCAAAACAAAAACAAGTCATTTTCGCAGCGAAGCCTACTGCGATCCTCTGCATTTATATTATTAATATCGATCATAACGCCTTATCGAACATGTCAAAATCACCCAACCAAATCCTACGACAAGAGCATACTGTTCTGGACGCGCATATAGGCAACGTACCTCACCGCTACATTACCATCAGAATCCAACACGTCGGACGTCAACCGCCAGTAACCGACGGGAACTACCGGCGGTATCCAGTCGCCTTCGGGAGCGAAATCCTTGACCCAGTAGTGGCCCTTCGGAAACGGACAAATCCGCTTGTCCTCCACCCGTGGCAGATTGGTCCAGTTTACGAAATAATTTTGATACTCTTTGTACGGTCCATTGACCACATCACACATCTTGTTCTTGGGAATCTTCAGTGGATACTGGTTGAATTGATTGTTGCCGAGACGACTGTAAGCTACCGTTGCGGTGAATGAGTACTCATTCCCTAAATCTATGAATAAGTCCGCTTCGCCGGCCAAAATCCACGAGGTGCGATTGAATTTACGAACCCGGATCCCGGTCGCATTGAGCAGCTCAAATCCCAACTCTTGCTCGAATCGTTCCAATTGGACTTCCATCTTTGCGGTCAAAGTTGACGCGAAACTCAGCAATGAGATTATCTGGACCAGCTTGCGGCACATTGTGATAGGAAATGAATGGCGGTTCCATCCTGTTATTTATTTTACATGTCCAGATTGGATCTTAATTTGACAATGTCAGGAGTTACCTGACATATGTTAAGGGTTGTTTGAGCCTATCCGGGTTGCTCAGGAATTGATTCTCTTCCAGTTAGTAGTAGATTCTGCGACTGCACGCTATTGCAGTATTGCTAAATATAATAAAGGAAACTCGTGGTCCTTTCCGCTAATAACTTTGCTTTATTCGAAACTTCCAACCTCAACGGAACCCTAATATATGAAACTGTTCTTGATGTACAAGTAGGCAAAGTACCTTATTGCAACATTATCATCCAAGTCTAACAAGTCAGCCGTCAACCGCCAGTAACCGGTCGGAACTACCGGCGGTATCCAGCCACCGTCGGGAGCAAAATCCTTGACCCAGTAGTGGCCCTTCGGATAAGGACAAAGCCGTTCATTGCCCACCCGTGGCAGGTTGGTCCAGTTCAAGAAATAGTCCTGATACTCCTTGTACGCTCCATTAACCACATCACACACCTGGTTCTTGGGAATCTTCAGCGGATACTCGTTGAACTGATTGTTGCCAAGCCGGCTGTAAGCCGCCGTCATGGTGAATGAGTACTCATTTCCAAAGTCTCGGAACAAGTCTCCTTCGCCGGTCATAATCCACGAAGTGCGATTGAATTTACGCACCCGGATCCCGGTGGCGTTGACCAGGTGAAATCCGGAAACCTGCTCGAATCGTTCCAATTGCGCTTCCATCTTTGCGCTGGCTGTTGTCACCAAGCACAGCAAGGCGATGAAGTGGACCACATTGTGCCACATTGTGACAGGAAATGAATGGAATGGCGGTTCCATCAGAGAAACTTATTGACTTTTCCGATCAAGATTGGATCTGTTTGGTTCAATTGTACTTTTCCATGAAGTTTTATACGGTAATTGGAGTTATCTAGCCTATTTTTAATGTTGTTTGGGCATAGAATGTGACAATGTTGCTGATGATTTGTCTGTGCCAATATATGCCGAGCAAGCAGCATGTATTGAACAGTGGCTAATTAAATACAATCAGTAACAACTGCACTTTCTTAATCTATTCCACAATACCAGGAGAACTGCGTACTGCGCGATGTTTCGCTTCATTTCATTTCAGTCTTCATTCGCTCGCTGAAGGGGCTTTTAGTGGGGAATGGGGTGTTTACACTTAAGCTGGGTTTAGACAGGGCAAGTCAATTGATCAAGTCAGTTGAATTCAACTGACTTGAACGCGAATTGAACCATGCCATTCAACTGACTTGATCAACTCACTTGATTTGAAAAAAAATTGAACCAGGCTCAACTTTTCAAGTCAATTGAATTCAACTGAGTTGATCAATTGACTTGCCCTGAAGCAAACTGACGTTTGCCAGAAAACAAGCAGACCCATTAAGCTGGGTTTAGACTAAGCAAGTCAAATGATCAACTCAGTTGAATTCAATTGGCTTGAAAAGTTGAGCCTGGTTTAACTTTTTTCAATTCAAGTGAGTTGATCAAGTCAGTTGAATGGTATGGTTTACACGTTCAATTCGCGTTCAAGTCAGTTGAATTCAACTGACTTGATCAATTGACTTGCCCTATCTAAACCCAGCTTTATTGATACCCCATCCAGGTTGCAAGTGAATAATAAACGAATTCGCTATAAATCTATTGTCTTAATGTCAAATTTACATCAACGCAACACAAACGGATCTAATGTAGGTGGTCCTTTAAGATTTGAGGTCACGTGTTCGCTATTTTTGATGGTTCATTGGAAAACTAGTATTTAAACCAAATTATCTCGAATATGGTAAAGATGATCGAAAAATCCAACTGACAATCTTTTCTAATTACGCCAAATTCTGTGAAATGGTTCAAGTCCCGGGAATTCCCAAATTGAGAAATCACCCTGCTCTGCCATTTCACAATGAAATATTGTTTTGTCCGATTGAACCTCCATACTCATAAGTGGTTTCAAAAGTATTAGAGATTAGTCTGTAATGATTTTAAAATATTTTGAACATAGACTTTCATTTATCTTTTGTTTTTGGGAAAATATTTCATTCATTTTAAAAATCACCCTTACCGGGCAATGTTCCCAAGTAACATTGCAGGTTTTATCGCGGTTTTACAGCATTCTTCAAGTTTAAATCATGGTCTACAGAACCCTCATAAAAACTAAAATTGTTACTTGGGTTGAAAACAGTTCTGCTAATTTCATGTATTATAGAAATCACGCAGCTTTGATATTTCAGGTTGAAATATTTATAAGTTAAATTCAACCTCAATTCTCATGAGTTGTTTTAAAATAAATTATTCTGTAATAATTTCAGCTTCTTTGTAGTAGGGAGTAAGTGCGCACACCAAATATTTTAAATATTGTTCGGTACTTTTTTGCTGGATACGTTCTGAATAGTCTGGATAGACTGAAGAAGTTTGCAAGTAGTGAACGAAATACGTATCTGTTATAGTTCAAAGTAATAGTGAAAGTAAAGAGTGAAAGTGAATTAGTGGAAGTGAAAGTAATGCAAAAGTAGTACAATCAAAAGGAAAAATCGACGTAAAAGTGTAGGAACTAATACTTGAATAAGTGAAGGCAATAAGAAATGTAGTAAACAATTTGCATACACCATGGTTATAATTAAATTAATAATAAGAGTGTTTGTGAATGAAATAAATGTCAGTTTAACAGTAAGAAATAAAGAAATAATAATTGGTCGAGAAGGAATATTTAAGTAATTTATTACAGTGTAGAGGCTATCCAGGACACACTTCACAAAACGCATAAGGAAATGGCGTTGCGATCAATCGTTCTGACGATGACGGAAAAACGCAAATGAAAAACGCTAAATCAGACCAGAAGAGTGAAGAGGGATGAGGAGAGAAAAAAATTCAGTCTGTAAACTATTGTTGTGGAAGACAGTCGTGTGCACAACTGCTGCTGATTTGAAGGTGAAATACGACATGGCGTCGTCGGTAGGTGAGTATTTTTCCTAAAAAACGCGAGTAAAAATTAAAAAAAAATATTAAGAGCTTTGAAACAACAACCAAAATTACAATGCATGCAGGACGAGTGGGTTCCTGCATTGTTAACATGAAATGGAGAAGAGCGAGTGGGCTACTACTCTGAAGAAAGAAAATGAAGCAGAGCGCGTGGGCTACTGCATGATTGAATGAATTCAAAATGGATCAGAGCGGGTTGGCTACTATTTCAAAAATCATAAGAAAGTGATAATAATAACTATGAAGCAGGACGTGTGGGTTACTGTTCTTAAGTATTAGAATGATAAATATTTAAAATAAAAAAAATAAAAATTAATGCAGGGAGAGTGGGTTCCTGCATGCTTGAAAGAAATCAAGAATTGCATATTAAGACCGTTGTTTTTTTTTCTCAATTTTAGACAAATCGGTTCGAACGCCGCGTGATCAGAAAAAAAAAGCCAAAGAGATGGCCAGAGAGCTGGCGAATGCTCTGGAAAAAGCACTGGAACGTAGTCTTCAAGTGAACAAAGAGCTTCAAGCTTCACAGCAAGATGGCGTCAGACAGACGGAACCGGAGGAACAGCCCGAGATTGAATTCGATGTTGACAATGGATTGAGCAGTACGAGACGTGTAACGGGTTCCAGCTTCGAAGAGTCGAAGTTCTTATCATCGATGAATCAGCTCTCTGTTGCGTCCATTAATGTCCCGAAATGTAAAGCAACGGACGATGACGGAATTTACCGTCATACATATGACCAGTGGAAGGACTTGCTGAGTGATTCCCTTAAGCTAGCCGGCATAGAGGACGAAATGACAAAGTTTACGGTGTTCAAAGTGAAGGCTGGTGCCCGTCTGCTCGAGATATTTAGGAACACGAAGTCAGACGCCGAGTCACCAGATCCAGACAAGAAACCTTTTTCAAACGCGTTGCATCGACTTCAGAGTTATTTCGGGTCTGGGTCCGAAGTGATGCTGATGCGACGAAAGCTGGCAATGATGTCTCAGAAACCCGATGAAACGGATCTCAGTTTCCTTACACGTGTTGGTTCATTTGTGTATTCGATGAGGGTAAGGAGTTTGAGCAAACCCGAATAGAAATTTACATTAGCCCAACGTTTGATTTTGATGTCTACATCAGCATCGAAATCAAATGTATGCCTGATGTCAAACATTAGAAAACATTATGATTTAGTTGTATTTAAGCAACGTAACATGGTGTATACATCAGAAATTTTGGAACAAAATTTTGCCATCCTAATGTCGGTCTGACGTCAAAAATTTCAATCTATTGACATTAGAACCAAACGTTTTAAGGATGTTTTCAGATGTAAAAAACGTTAGAACTAAACGTTGTTCGGATGTTTTTATATGTACATGTATTCTGATGTTTTCTAACGTAGATGTTTCCCGATGCTAGAACCAAACGTTTTTTGGATGTTTTCGGATGTACACAACGTTAGAACTAAACGTTGTTCGGATGTTTTCAATTGTACTTCGTGTTTGTTGTTCTCTGATGTTTTCAGATGTACAAAACGTTTAAAGTAAACGTTGTTTGAATGTTTTCAAATGTAGATGTTTACTAATGTTTTTAGATATACAAAACACTAGAATCTTACTTTTCAAATGCTTTCAATTATATTTACAACACATTAGAATTAGAAACATGATCGTGTAAACACTACACACCATTGTTGTTAGATAACATCATAAAAATGCGTACATAATAGTCAATGCTGAAGCTCCCGTTTCCCACCAGTCAGATAACTGACCTTAGCTAACCAAATATCATTGCGGCAACTCTCTATGCGGCAGGGGAACTATGCCATTAGCGCGCTAAGAGTTATTAGACCACTGACATAGGCGCCTATTCATGGGTGACGAGGCACTTGGTGACATTACAGCGAGCTTGGCAATTGTTATAGCATTTTTGAGTGAACTACCAGACAATCATGACAATAAGATCGCTGCGCCTCCAGATCTCCCTTTAAATCGACCCGCTGTGCCAATTTGTCAATAATGCATGACACTTTGGACGTGGATCGGGATGATCCACAAATGCGGAATGTTTTGGGCTACCAGTCTTCTACCTAATTGACGAACTGCAAATATATAATAAACAAAATTATTATGCATGAAAAATATGACAATGTACAATGCTCGAGGAACACTGGGAGTTTTCGAACGACGCGTGCTTAGGAATGCCGGACAACAATCCCGCAAAAATGGTGTTTTCCTCAAATCCGGCCGGTACAAGACGCAGAAAAGCACAGCGTGCTATGTGGTTAGACCAAGTGGAGCAAGATGTAGGAAGTGTGAGATGCTCGAGAAATTGGAGACAAGCAGTCAGGGACCGAGTTAGTTGGCGCAACTTTGTTATACAGGTCAAATCTTGAGGGACGTCCGACCAGCAAAAGTAAAGTAAGTATCTTATACGTTTGCCAACATTCCACGACAATATATGATTAGGTTTTCACTTGGTATGTAATGAACAACAGAGATACGCGATAATTCGTATAGTTTCTGCGATTGATGGTTAATTTTAAATGTACGTATAGTCACAGACAAACAGACGTAACTCTTCATTGTGTATCTTCGTTCACGCATTAAACGGTTGATTAGAATATTATCAGTTCCGCGAACTACTCGCCGCAGCGCTGGCATCGGATCACTTTGACGTTTCAATGCATTCTATAGAACTTTTATGCAATATTGTTTGCGAGTTAGCGAGCAAGCTTGTTTTCCGCGAGAAGCCTGAAAGATGTCGCTACTGAGGCCCTATGTTTTGAGATACTATGTTTTCTAGAAAAAAATTTTCAAAGTGTTACGTCTG